CCCCCCCCCCCCCCCCGACCCCTTTTAGGATTTATATCCCCTTGATGGCTGATTCTTCAGCCGTTTCATTTTTTGTGGTTTCTAGTTTGTTTTTTCTTTGGGATTTTTAGTCCCATTTAATCAAAAAGAAAAAAAAATTGATTTAAAATTTTAATTTAAAAATGAAAATTTGAAATTTTAAGAGTAAAATTTATTAAAAAAAATATATATTAGCTAAATTTAAAATATTTAATGATTTTAATAAAAATATTAATATTTAATAATTAAAAAATAATTTTGAATATTCAGTAATTAAAAAAAATTATTTGTGAGTTTAGCTCAACTCTAACATGATTCAAATGTTTAGATCAAATGGTTTAAATGTCTAGAGGGAAAATCTGTAAGGATTTCATGAGATAAACATTTTTTTTAAGGAATCCATATTTAGAAATTTAGAATTTGAAATTTTTAGAATTTGAATTATTTATTTTTAATTTTCATCATTCTTTAAATATTTTGTTTAGATAAGTCAATTCACATTTGTTAAATTTTATGTTTTTAGTTTGGGTGGGACAATTTGATTTCCACTGCGAGTAAAATTGATTTTAAACATATACATACAAAGAGATATATAAAAGAGATTCACTTATTCCAAAAGTAAGTTTACCTAAACTTACTTTACTCAATAATGTTGACCAAGCTCAAGAGTGATAATTCATATTTTGATGATTACAAAGAGTGTCTCTCATGATTTAAGAGAGTGCAAATTATATTGATGTGTGTTTATGCTTTGTTAGGCATGTTTGTTTGTGCATTATGAGTAACTTAGTCAATTATTTTTTATTAGATGATGTTTGATGATGAAAATATTTTTAAATTGGTTTTAAAATTGAAAATTTGAGAATTTGAGAATTTGAGTCTGTCATTCAAAGTAATCGATTATGCACTTGAAATAATCAATTATTTACATTATTTTTTCTCATTCTGAGAAACTCACTGTAATAATTAATTATCACTGTGTAATAATCAATTATTTTAGAGACAATTCTCTGTAATAATCGACAATTCCAGCAAATAATTGATTATAGTATTCTTAACTAGTTTCCATATTCATTAAAAACAAAATAATCGATTATCCATGAAAATAATCGATTATTTTAGTCAAAGAGTTATATAAATATCAATTTTCAAACTTAATTAAAACGTATTAATCTGAAATGTGACACCCTCTACCCCAACATACATATACAGTAATTATAAAAAAAATAGAATTTTTCATCAATAAAAATCAAATTTCCAACTACGTAAGGGTAAAAAGTTCACATTCATAAACTTAATCCAAATAACATGCCGGTAAAATTAAAAAGAAATAAAACTGAATTTTCCAAAATAATTTAATAAGAACATCTTAAACTAATCCTATCTATGTCTCGATGTCACATGTCCTATCAGAGCAAAACCCAACATAGAAGCCTAAGCTTCATCACCAACATCCTCAGCCTCACACTGATGATCACCTGTATAATAGTCACAGCAAAACAACACGAGAAAAGGGAGTGAGAAACATCTCACTCTAGCTCACAGTGTAGAAATGTACGCCGAATAGCCAAACACAAACAAAACAGGTATAACATAGATAAATTAATAATAACATCACACTCATCCAAGACATAAACCATCACTTTATCACATAACATTAAAAATGCATAAGTATGGACACGGACTACATATTATCATGCATGTGGCGCCAGTAAAACATCACATGGCATATTGCCGCTAGCAATACACGAAGAGTAGTCTAGGAGTACATGCCGGGTCACACCCTCTGCGCACTCTCACTAGAAGGATATACTACCAGAGTCTCGTCGGGATAGCTAAGCCGCGCAAGATACATCCCATGCACACAATGGGCGAGACTGGGACTTCCAAACCGAGCTATCCCCAAGGACTAATCCCCAAAGCTTTTACACTAGGGGGCCTTCTCTGGCGGTGTATTCCATATCGTACCCTTAAAACACTTATGCAAATGATGCATGTCA